AGATACCTAGGTTAGATGTTGATGTTTATTTAATGTTATGGCTTATTTATGTGTTTTATTGAAAGTCTTACTCTTGAATGATTCTCATTTTAGGACATGTAAATAGTCAGAGAGGTATTTTGGTCCCCTCAAAGTTAACAGAGGCTTTTATATATGGTAGTACAAGAAGACAGTGATGGGTCACTGTCTTATTATCTACTTTACGAGCAGGCCAAAGTGATCATTGCACAAATAATTACAAGGTGGAGAGCTCGTTTGGGTCAATTATCTGCACAGATGGTGCATAACAATTTCTAAAGGTTTTGAGATTGTGGTTTGGTCTTTCACTCCATTCTAATTACCCCAAATCATTTGGGTCATCTATTTGAAATTTGAATTTATTTTTATTTCACCCTGTTAGTCTGACATTTTTCTGTTTGATTCTTCTGTTAATTTCTTCCGTCAGAAGATGGTATGCCTGGCTGCCGCCTCCTGTTAAAACTGCTGGGTGGCACAAGGCAGTTGCATCTTCATCTATTTCTTTTTTTAATTTCTTTTTGTGTGTGTGGTTGGTTGGGTGTTTTTTTTTAAGAAAAGGGTGATTTCTTAAACACACCTCAAACAATTTCACTTATCAATTTCCTATATCCAAACCTCATTCAGAAGTGCTATATTTTTCTTTGTCATTGCTTATGTTAATCAGAATAAGTACATTGGCAACTATGTCTCACATACTGCAGTTTTGTGTCTCTTGCTTTTCCTTCTGCTCATTGTTTCTTCTTCCTGGATTTCCTGTGAAGTCAGCTCTCTCCACAGAAGTGTGATAAAATAACACTTCTTACTTCCCCAGAGGTTTTGACATGCATTTCATGGAAAGCTTGGTTTTAGTCTCATGGAACCAGGGATAAACTAATTTGTAGGAGCTTGAGAAGAACAGTATGTATGAAAATACCAGGTAATTGATGGTCATTTGAGACTATTGCTCAAAGTACAGTAACAGGAAGACCTGAATCAACCATAACATCTACACTATAAGATGAGATTCGTTATGCAAAAGATTGCAAGCTGACTTGTTAACAACTTAAATAAGAATACTGAGTGCTGTACTTCAGTACTTTGGCACCTGAGATTGTGCTGCACAAGCGTTCATTGAAGTCAGCTGGGACTGGAGATCTTTAACGGCTTCAAGAGACACAGCGTCAGCCCCTAATGAAAATACAGTAGGTGTAGTTGCTGGTGATAAATGTATCCTTCTGTACAACAGCCACTTCATTATCTTTTAATGCTTAGGACTCCACGTACTGAGCTAGTGCCTTCCCGTATGCACTTCAGCAGTCTGCACTGAAAGAAATTTTGTGGGCATCCGTTTAGTACAATTTGATAACAAATGGATAAAGTGTCAGATGAGTTGAGTGCTTCATGCAGAGCAATTTAGTTAATTTCTGTCACTGTATTTTTGGTATAGCGGACCTACTTTTTTTCTTTGAGTGGTGTCTGTCCAGTGCCCTTTTTATGTTGTACTACTAGTGATCATGCACAAAAAGCAGTGCAATGTTAAAAGGGCATTGGCCAGCAATACTATCTACGATTATTATTAGTCAAAAGTCATTATTATATGTCTAAGACCAGAAGGTGATTTGCAAAACAGCTGTAAAATGGGATTGCCACTGATTTATTTTTTTGCACTCATTGTCTTCTAGTTATTTGCCAGGGAGAAATGTTAACTGGTCTTTTAATGACAAATACCACCAACTCTATGTGTGTGTGTTTCTTTAGAAATAAGTGCCCTATAAAGAGGAAAGAACACTGTATAGCATTTTTATTTCCTACAAAGTGTTCTAGAGAGAAGTTACAGGTGTGGAGTTGACTCAGGTTGTTGCTCTGTGTGCATCAGCAATCATCCATCTCCCCACTCCATTCCTCTGTTACTTTGCATTTTGTTGTTAAGAATCTTAGTGCCTTCAAACCCTAAGAGTTCTCAAACTTTTTATATGAAGTTACTGGTTTTGTTATAAAGAAACACATTTATTGAGCTTTATGCAATACCCCCACACACACTTTGATGGTGCTCGGACATCCCTATGGTAACCCTAGTGGTAATGTACATCCACAATGTTGGGAAATGAGTGTGCGTTTAAGTGTATTTTAAAGTGGTTCAGCACCTACAAATGAGAAGAATAAACTCTGTTGTCCAGAAAATATTCCCTGTAATGAAGTTTAAAATATCTGTCTGATAGCAGTTTAGAATCTTTGCTTGCTATGAGGCAAATCTAAGAAATAAATCCATTTGGAAACACAGTTTCCAGTTAAAAGAGCATCAAATTGTTTGAATTAGACAGATCTGTTGAGCGTTTTGTTGGGTGTTTTCCTCCATTTTTTTCCCCCCTTCCTGGTCAGTGGAATGACAGGAGTACAAATAGTAATAATGTCTTGAAATGTGTGAGTTCTTGTGTGTTTGTATCAGGACTTGGTGAACATTAACCTTACCCAGTTCTCCATGATCCACAGAAACCACTATCTGACTTGAGCTATTTTTTTCCAATACATATTTTGTGTATTGATTACTTGAACAGAATTCTTGCTGCTAACGAATGCTCTGACTTTATTGCACTACTGTACTTTACAGCTAGCAGTGCAATAGTATTGTCAAAGCATCTGAAAGCAGAGTGCGCAGCAATGGCTTGAGTCTTGCCTCACAGTTCCTAACACTTCCTTCTAAGCCTGTGAGTAAATTACAAAGTTCCGTTTAACAAACTGCATTTTCTGTGTGATTGTTGTACAATACTCATCATATGAATGGTCCTAACCTATAACATGAAGGTGAGATTTTTTGTAGATGTACGTTTCCTGAAATATAGCAAAAAATAAGTATTTGTAAAATAAAGGAAAAATGGATCGTAATGGAGGAACATGTGGCAGTGCTTAGAAACATGATTTGAAATTACTGATAATAAATTTGTTTCTTTTAGTATACTTTCAGGAGAAAACAGTGATACTGAACTCTTAATGTTTTCATCAAGCACAAATCTTAAAATTATAGCCACACAATGGATAAGCATTCAGCTTCACATTCAATTTTTAGTGTCTTGAATGATAGTAGTAGCATAGTATTAGTGGCTAAAGGTGTTCTGTAAATCTCAAATTATCAATATTGAATATTTCAGGAACAAAGCTTCATGGATAATTTTAAAAGCCACCCATATTCGTTGTCTGCTTTCCCGTTAATTCATAATCAGGAGTTGGAGAAAAGCAAAAAATGATCTTTTTGGGATGCCTGCCCCTAGAAATGAAAACCTAAAAAAGTATGCTAGTAGAGGTGAACAGAAACGATTGAGCAGTTAGGAAAGATCCCTCATGAACTCTTTAAAATACATAGTGTAATAAAAAGTATTTTATTCTCGCATTTTTGTCATGACTGGTTTCTGGGTTAGATGTGGGAAGGAGTTTCGATGGTCAGATGGTAAGTTGTGGGAGTCACGGGTGAAAGCCTTCCCTTTGATTTATAGACTTTACTAGATTTATTTTCCTTTTCTTAAGCTATTGAAAAAATGCTGAAGGTGTGGGTATATAGGAAAGATCATACATTTTCAATATATCAGAAAGGGCATTTTACTTGTAGAATATTTTGGATCAAACACTATTCCTTTAGCTCATCTTGAAGTTACAGATCCTCAAAGGTCTTAATGGCAGTTCTCAAAGGTGGATCCCATGGCTGATGTTTAAAACACAAACGTTCTTTTGGTATCCAGGCCTGACCACAGGCTACATCCAAAGATGATGGAAGTTTGTCACGTTAGCTACCGTTACAGCACAGCCAGTTAGTACTTTGGGATACAGTTAACAAATATGGCCTTATTTTGGTCCTTGAAGAAGTTGTAATGGTTACTTCAGTGTTAATCTCAATATAAATAGTGAAAACCAAGTTCAGTAAGTGACAAGCGTGTTTAACTCGCTTTCATCATTGCCTCTTCTGTGACTGTAAAATCCCCAAATTACTACATTCAGAAATTCATGAGTTTTTTGGGAACTGGGAAAACCGCCTTTCTTTAAAGCAGAAGTCCTTAATAGATATTAAAATTGCAGTCTAAAATTAATTAAGTAATAATGCTATCAGCAGGCTGTTTTACAAGGCAATTAGATAATTCTCTGGTGGCTTATTTATCCCAAGGAAAGAAATGTGATGTCATCAATTTTATTATCTATTTGTCAGTCTGGTTTATTGGGGAATAACAAAATGTATTATGGGTATTATAGCCATCTGAGGGAATGCATTCCTAATATAATTAATAATAAAATCTCTGTTGATATGCTTGGATCCTGAACACTTATTCATAATCTCTGCTGTGTAAATAAGAGTATTGCAGTTTTGCTAACAGAACTTTTAATGTTTGAAAAGAAAAGCAACCAGCTAAGAAAAAGCTCTAAAAATTGATGGAAAATTCATTAATATCTCAGGAGAAGAAAATCAAACGTTTCCTGCATCCAGTGAAGATCAGTGTAAAAAAAAAAAGATGTGTGTTCTTTTCTATTGATACAACTTACCTCTTTGGTGTACTTCAAAACTTCATCTTGAGAGGTTTGGCGTTGCAAGGACATAATATAGGAAGAGATGGAAAAGTTTTCATGCATTTTGGGGAGCTGCATAAAAAAGGTACTAATGGCAAGATGCAAAGAGAACAATTGGGTGATTTGGGCTAGACAAATGGAAAGAGGTTAAAATTAAGAGAAGCATGGGTACATGTACACACAGATGTAATTCTTACGTGTGAGAGGAAAATGGTTATATTAAGTCTGAAAGTTTATTGCTTTATATTTTTCAGGCTAGAAGTGTGTTGGCATAATTGGCAAACACTAGCTAGTGGAATAGATTGGAGGAATAGAAACTTACTGTTGTAGTACGTGAGCCTTTAAAACGGAGGCATCTGGCTTCTGCTTTTCTGAAGTACAGGAAAAGCGAATGGTTGTGTTTTGTCTGCAATTTTTGTTTTTTAATATACTGTGGCTGATCTTAAATATTTTAGTTCCAGAAGGCAGAATCTGATCTGGATTATATTCAACACAGACTGGAGTTTGAAATAAGGAAAAGTCTTCCTGATAATCCAGCAGCAGAGGTAGTATTTTCAGATTAAATTAATAGATCTTATTGCATTTGGCATGAAGTTGGTAATAAATGGGTAATTTTCTTTAATCCTAAAATATGTGTTATCTAGTTGTTAGTTTTCTATTATTATTACAAAGTATTTCTTGCATCATTATCAGCATAACTGGGCTAATATGAATGCTGTGCAGAAAGCAACAAAACCTCCTTGATTTCTTGGGATAGTGAAATTCTTCCATGTTCTGCTTTGGGAAATGAGTAGTAGTATTAACACCTACGTTTAAGAGACAGATTCCAATGTGAGCTAAAACGAACCCTTGCTCTGAGATCAAAGATAATCTTGCTAGTAAGCAATGACTAAATTCAGATTTGGGGGAAAGATGAGAGGAAGGAGAAAACAATAAATAGCAGCATGTAAAGGATTTTATAGATAAGTCCTTGTCTCCATGTATATTGTGACATATAGTGGGAAAATAATCTTTTTAGTTAGAAGTCCCTAATTTATTCCAACTCAGAAAAGCCATTAAAATTCAACATCATGATAAATTCATCCTCCTGTATTTGTTGTGGAACCACAGAGTTATGCTGTTTTATTAACACTATCATTTTTGCTTATGAAAAATTAAATGTATAGATGAAACAGATGCTCACAGCTACACATTTCATTGTAAAGGGTCATTTCATGTTATATTTTAGTGGCTCTAACACCTACACTTTTAATTGGTATGTGGCAACATTAATTTTCTCTTCTTAAATAGTTTAAATGTATTTTTAATTTCTACGTAGGAAAACCCAGTTGCTCTCTTAGAAGCGCTCTCAGTGGTGAAATCTCGTTATAAAATGTTATGTATGCAACTGGAAAAAGTTTCCATGGAGCAGAGAGCATCTATGAAGGGCATCCGTGCTGCTCTAGAGAACACGATGAAGATGGTTCAGGCATTACAGCAACATACTGATCTCGAGGTAGTATTTTCGTTTTAATCACTTGGGTCTTAATCCTGTAAATTAACATGGATTTTTGTAACCTTTATGTAGATGTGAGTAGTTCCATTGGAAGCTGTTATACGTGCAGACTCTTAGAAGACACTTAGAAGATAAGATGACCGTTTACCTGAAGAAACATTTGCAAGATTGGAGCTCTTTTTGTAAATCACAAAATCAGGCTTTATAAAGCCTGATTCATCACTCAACAGTTAAGCTAGCAGTATTCTATTTTGAAGTTGAAGTAATACCAGAATAGCGTGATGCACGTTTGAATAGTTTCATAGAAATTGATGCCTCTGTGCACAGCTGTGTCCCAGTTCTATACTGACTTGGTTAAAAGTAGCTACCTTAAAGAAATTTGAAAGTGAAAGCAATTTTAAAAGGTAAAAAAGCTTTTAAATGGCAAATGTATTTTCACTGTCTAAAATGAGTAAGTTAAAACCAACGCACTGTTATATATGTGGTAGAATTGCTGTTAGTACAAAGAAAAGTTTTTCTCAGTATCAGACACTGCTTCATTACAATTTTGAAGAGGTTATGAAAGCATTAATTTTGTCCCTTTCCAGATAAGGCCATTTAGATCAAAAAAGCTAATTGATAGTCTAGTGGCAAAGACAGAACTGGTGTGACTAAAACCTATTCCCAGATCTGAGCTCTCACTTTAGTGTTCTAATGACAGTGCCCTGATTGTGTTTAATCTGTCAACAACTCTAGACAAGTTATTTGTAAGTCTTTATAGATAAAATGTACTGTATAATGATTTAAAAGACAGTAGTGATATGTCACAGAAAGGAAAAAATATTTTCTCTCCCTGTGTTCCAAGGTTATGCTGCCAAGAATAATTTCGTATTTGGATTTTGTTAAAGTGGAAGAGTCTTGTGTCTTGAGTTACATTGAGACTTTTTAGATAAAGATTTTCTTTGTATATTTCCTAAACCAAAGATTGACTAAACTCTTATGGAGAAATGTAAGTCTCTAAGTGAAATACTTCTTTTCATTGAATAATTTATCTTTCTGTTGAATCATTTATAGCATTGATGTTAAAGGAATATTATGGTTGGATTTTTAGAAATAGTCAGCTTGTATATTTGCTTTCATTTAAGGGAAATAGGAGTCTACTATTAGTTTCCATGAGAAAAGGGCTACACAAACGTTGAGTTCTTCTGTAAATATCATCACCCTAGGAACTGAAAGTATCAGAGTTCTCTGTGTTTGTTTTTTTTCTAGTGCTCACCTCTGTCAGAAGAAGAGCAGACTGCAGCGCAGCAGTTAACCTGCCAAACTCTTAGAGAAATGGAATCGCTAGTGGAAGAGGTAATTAGGCTACAGAGGGTTGGTATTCCAGAAACCGTTAATCCTGAGTAGCTCAACTGAAGTCAGAAGGTCTGGTTTTGTGATTTAATACCTCTCAAATGAATGGAATTTTTCAGAAATGGGACTAAAGTTTCTAACAAACCTTTTCATTTTTATTGTACACTGATTAAGCTTATGATTTTTTCCAGTTAAATTGTCCAGGAAGGAAAAATTTGCTTTGATGAAAGACTTTGATCCCAATTAAAAAATAAGGGGAAACATTTATGTTTCTTTTCAGAGATGCAGTTGGTTGCTCTTGTCGATCTTATTGTTCTGTTAACTCATTATTTAAGAAGTCTTTGGGTGGGAGTGAAGAATGTAAGTGATTCAAACCAATCTATATCAAAATGGGGAGAAATTTAATTTCCTGTAAAATATTAAATAAATTTTGGAATATGAGTAACAATAAGCATATTCTAACTGTAATGCGGTAGAACATAGATCTAAACTAACACTTGTTAAACAGTCAGCTATTCTCCCATAGCTACTCAAAGCACAAACATCTAATACAATTATCTGCAAAGATTTAGTCTGGGTCTCATATTAAGAGCAAAATATTAAAAGCTAATAGAGTGTAATTATCTTATTGACCTTCTATTTTTCTATGTGTCTTCTCACTGCCCACTACTCTTCTGTCAAAGGATGCCTCGCTTTCTGTCCGTTTATTGCCATGGTTGGTTTGCATGAAAGCCATCCAATATTTTGCGGCTTCATTCACTCTTCATTTGCAAATATCTTCTCCTACCTTGATGAATGCTCTCTATTTCTGTCTTTCCATTATTTAATTCTAAAGCACTTTAGCCAGGCCTGATGCAAACTGTAGCTGTATCCTTCAGCTACTATGGCCAGTTTAATTGGTATCAGTCCCTATGTTGTCACCGTGTTTTGAAGATGTTCTCTGAAAGGCAGAAAGAATGGAAAGTTGTCACAAAGGCCCTGGAATTTTTTCTGCTGTATTTCTGGCTGAGGAGAGTTAGATATAGGTACCTTCAGCTTGTCAGAACTGTCAGCCTCTGAAGGTTGCTTGAGAATAGCAAAGCCATCTCCTTCCTTTGCTGCATGTGCAGTGCTTTCAGCTAGATCCATACCAGAATGCAAAGAAGAAAGCTACAGAGGCTCATCGGACTTGTATATGAACCTTTCTGTATCTGTTTTAAACTTATTTTTATTTGAAACGAGGGTTTGTTTAAAGCCTAAGATTTTGACTTCAGTGGCTGCAAGATCCTTGGTTATCCAATGGCAAAATGTAATTACTCATGCAGAAATGAAATTGTAAAAAATAATTTCTAAACAAAATTCCAACAAATCCTGACATTCTCTTGTTTGTTTTTAGCCATTTTGTTCAGGATCTACAGTCCCTGGCTCAACCGAAGGTAAGTGCTGAAAGAATATCTTCCCACTGTTTTCTTTCTTTTTTTCCCCCCTTGACTGATCTCCCCCTACACCCCCAGCCTTAGTAAGTAAGTTTTGTGAATAGTATCAGTTTCTCAAGACTTCCATCTCTAATATTGAACTCTAATAGTTCTGTACTACTTAAACATATCAAGTTACCATATAGAATTCAGGGAGTAATGAATTAAACTGTTTTATTTTCTGAAAAAGGCAGATGTAAGTAACTCCAGCTGGCAAATTAGGGCTGGTTTACCTGGCTAGTACAACAGGGGCAAATCTCACATTAAGTAGGAGTAGGCTGAGACCTAGGTATGGTTTCTGAGCTTTGTTATTTAAAAAACATAGAGCCTGTGATGCGCAGTAAATTCACTGTTTTCACCCTCAAACACTAGTACCTACTCCTTTTATGTGAAGAATTTAGACTTTAATACAAGAAACTAACCCCTTGGTTACATTCCACATATAGTTCCCATGTCTCTGGGAGTTTTTCTTGCTTTTGATGGTATTGAAGTGGATACTGTTGTGTTTATAGTCTGGAAGAAATGATGTACTAATCTTACCATAGAAATTGCTCTTGTTTAATCCATTTATCCCTACTAATAGAAAGGAATTTTCCTAGTTCTTTCTTTTTAAAAAGAGGGGGAAAAAATTAAAAACCCTACTCACTGACAGACCCAATTTATTAATCCACATCAGATGTCAAATTAAATGATTTTTCACTGGGTCTGCAGATACAATGATAGTTTGGAGGGAGTATCTTCCTTCTCTCCTTCCTCTTTAGACCTGTTTAGGGGGTTTCTTAAAAAGTAATGAAAGTAATTTCTATCTTTGGCCTAGTTTCTGAAGAAACAAATATGTCCTATTTCCGATTTTTTAGAATTATAATTCAAACCATTGACTGAGGAAATACTTATGTCTGTACCAAGGAGTATCAGAAGTACTGTTAAACTAGCAGTCTTGAATAATGTGTACAGGAGTTATTTAACCACTTCATTGTAAATAAGAACAGGTAATACTTAAAGCCATTCATTAGTAAAAATTTTACAAGCTGTAAAGAAATTCAGCCTTTTCAAGTTAAACATAACCAGCCAGTTAACCATTCACTGCTATATTATAACTTGATAATTTGATTTTACTCCTGTTTACTCTTCTTCGTTAGGTACATACCCTAAAGTGTCAGGTCATCATACCAATACCCCCCCCCCATTAATTTGCATAAAAATGGCTTGTATGACTTTATCTTTCACACCTGAATGTCAGGTTCTTCAGAAACAGATTTTGTCACTTTTGTTTCACTGTACAGATGTACAGAACTGGGTCTGTTCAGGGAAGTTTGACACAGTCATACCGCCAAAGCCTTTTAGCTCTCAGAATCTGCAGCCAGAAAAGCAAAGCCCTAATGCTAAACCCTGAGCCCTGACCCCTGTCTGGGATGTGTGCTGCTGATGTTTTACCTTGGGAATTCTGTCTCCTTATCCTTAAGGCTGGAGTAGCAAATTACTGTTCTCAAGTTGAAGTAGCACAGAAAAGTTGCTAACAGTCTGAATAAGCATGAGAATTACAGAGCAGTCACAAAAATCATTCATTTAACAGTATGTACTTTTTAGCCTTTTTCTGTCAGGCCTGGTGTTTTGCTAAATAGTTTGCTTTTCTCTTACAGAGCAGCATTGAGTGTTTCACAGATGAACATGAAAGCCACTGACTCAAGAATACAAATCTTGAAAGAACTTGCCATCGTGGAACTTGACAAACAAGGAAATGTTAAATTGGTTGTATAAGTGTGAGCTCAGTCCAGTCTCATTTGACACACAAGCATCTTGGTCAGAGCTCCTGGATTATTAACAAGCAAGAATTTCTCTAGGGATTATAAGTCAACTGTTGGAAAGCTGTTAAGGTTTCTGTATACAAATTCTATTTATAGTACTTAAAATTGGGAGAGTTAAAAGAAATTGAGGTTGGTATTTTATCTTGGATATTTATAAGACTATAGCTGATGCATTTTTTGAAGAGTATTGTTAGCCGCGTGACACTTCCATATTCATGCTTACATTCCTCGGTGGGTTTTTTAAGACACACAACCCAAGCCACTTAATTGTACTTACATTCCTGAATAAATGATGAAAGCTAAGGAGATGAGGCCATAGAATTATTACACTTTTGTTTACGTAATTCCTGAGCCTGAGCCATGCCCTAACCCTTGAACCTGGTCCCTGACCCTTTTCATTTTCCTTTGATGTGAATTGTCTTTGTTTTTTCACAAAACTGCAGACTCGGGTAGCTGAGGTTGTCTGGTCCAGCCCCTTGCTCAGAACAGGGACAACTACAGCAGGTTGCTCAGGGTGGTGAAAAACTCCAAGGATAAAGATTTTACAACTTCTCTGGGCAACCTGTTGTAGTGTCTGACCATCCTCATAGTAAAAAAAAAAAGGGGGGGGATATTTTTCCCTTATGTTTTAATGTTTTTATGTTTATTTCAGTCTAATTTGAGAGTAAGATATCTGAAGTTTATTAAGTTCCTACAGTTTTTGTGGAAAAAATGATGGTTGTCAAAGGAGAGAAATTTAAATTGGTGCCCTTAGGATGGGAAAGGCTGATTTCTGACCTGAATCGATGATCTGGTTGGTCTATTTAGAGTTTGTTGGATAGAGGAACAGGTTGTGTATTGACTAAGAAAGGGGAGCAAAGGACACTGTTCACAAGGGCATGTAGCAATACGACAAGGCTAATGGGTTTAAACTGAAAGAGGGTAGATTAGATGAGGTATGAGGAAGAAATTCTTCCCTGTGAGAGTGGTGAGGCCCTGGCACAGGCTGACCGGAGAAGCTGTGGCTGCCCCTGGCTCCCTGGCAGTGTTCAAGGCCAGGTTGGATGGGGCTTTGGGCAACCTGGGCTAGTGGAGGGTGTCCCTGCCCATGGCAGGGGTGGCACTAGATGGGCTGTGAGGTCCTTTCCCACCCAAACCAGTCTGATTCTATGACACTTACCTACAAGGTTGCTATCACTTCACAAACTGATTTAATGTTTCACCATTTAATCAAATTCATCACTTTCAATACAAGACTTGATCTTACTCTGACTTCCTTCAACTGTCTTAAAAGATTTATTAGTTAAAACAATTAAAGATAGCCATTAGCGGGAAAACTGCATGTAAGATTAAGCAGAGTGTAATGTAACTGCAGCTGCAGCCTCGAGGACAGTTACATCGTGTTTCAAAAGCCACGACGTGTGGAAATCCCTCCCCGCAGCCAGGTTTTGTTCGGCGCTGCCTTGCTTGCCCTCGCTCCGTGCTGACACATTTCAGGCGTAACTGAGCGCTAAGCTTTTTGTCTTGAAACCCAGCAGCTGCACGTTCCTCTGAGAACGTAACCGCGTCTGTCACGTTAATCCCTGTTCAGCGGTGCGATGCTGCTGCACCGGCGGCAGGGAGCTGTGCTACGGCGGGAGGCGGCGGGGACCGCACCTTTCT